CCCGTACGTAGGGGAAGACAAGAAGAAAAAAGAAAAGAAAGGAACGGAAAAAAAAAAAAAAACAACAAAAAAAAAAAAAAGGGCAGGTATGACCTGCGCAGGCGACCTTCTATGGCAGGCACAATCCTTCCATGCCGGCTCGCAAGAAAACAACCCGAGGGGGGAAAAAATTGGAAGGAATAGAAAAGAGAAAAACGGCAGGTAAAACCCAGACTATGGAACACGCCATACCGGTCTCGGAAAGGAGGAACCCCACGCTAGTCCAAATGGAACCATGTGACATTTCACGACTTCGTACCTGAGCTGCCAATTTCTCGCTGCATTGCTTGATTGCCCTGCGCATTGCAAACACAGGCAGAAAAGAGACGATTGATTACTGGGTTGAATTGATTGACAGATTGATTCGGACAGGCACGCCACCCTGTCGGCCCAAATCGCACCCCCTCTGCGCAGGCGAGGACCACCACCACCGCGGCCACCACCAGACTCCAGCACAGCTAACACCACCACGACGCACGCATCAGTAGGAAACCCGGCCCAGGGTCGCGTCTGGCTCCCCTGGTCGGAAATCGTGGGCTCCATAAAAAAATCCAATTAAATAAAACCGTCCCCCGAAATGGCACATCTCGCTCCTGGCACCGCTCCATCCTCTCCCAAGGAGGCACAGGACCAGGACCAGGACCTGGAAAAGGACCATGAAAAGACGTTGTTGGAGCTGGAGAAGCTGAAGACGGAGCCGGAGAAGCAGCAGCACCAGGAGCAGCACCAGCAGCACCAGCAGCGACCCCAAGCCCGCCTTCATGATGCACAAGAGCCCGAGAGCCAGCTGACACAAAAGCACCTACTCCTCCACGCGCCGACAACCACTCAAGGTCTTCCTGCTGCGGCTGCGCCCGTCGAGTTCAACCTCCCCTCGCCGGCTGCCACCACCCCGATCGAGTCGGCGACCATCTCGACCGCCTCTGTTCCATCAACCCCCGTCCCGACCGTTGCGTCAACTACTGTCATTACCTCTTATCCCACTGCGCACGATCGGGGAAACACGTGCATCACCGTCACTGCCACCACCACCACCGCCGCTACCACCACCATCACCACCACCATCACCACCACCACCACTCCAACCGACGACCTTGTCCAACTGCCTGGTACGGCCGACTTTGTCTCTGTGAAGGAAGCAACTCAATCTCCGCAAGCGCCCTCACAGCCGTGCCTGACTGGAGGTCTCAGCGACGCAACATCGACGGCCCCCTCCTCAACCCTCGAAGCGAATGGAAACGAGGGCTTCACGTCCTCCTACTCGCCCGCTCCCATGTCCAACGCTCCCCCGCCGCACGGGAATGCCCGTCAGCACCACCAGCAGCATCTTGGCTACCCCGGACAGCCCGCTTACTCGCAGCCCTCGATGAACCCAGGCGGCCCGTATGGCTATCCGGCCGTGACCACCCAGGCCCCGGATCCGTACCGCACGCCCCAGCCGCTACCCCCGAACCCGGCCTTGGCGCTGCCGAGCATGCGAAGCCTGGATCCCCTTCAGCACCAACATCAGCACCAGCATCAACACCAACAGGCTCAGCACCCGCAGCATCAGCAGCACCCGCACCCGCACCCGCACCAGCAGCACCCACACCCGCATCAACACCATCCCCAGGCGATGGGCATGACGCCCCAGATGTCTGCGTATTACCCGCAGCCTGCGCACCTGGCGATGCACCCCTACGCGATGCACCACGCGGACCTGCGCATGGCGTTCCCCATGGGAGACCCCAGGTTAAGTCTGAGCGGTGGGCGACACAAAAAGGTACGAGACGATGATTCGGACATGGTGTGGGCGCGGGGTTGCGGCTCGAGACAGAGTGTGTTCTCGGGCCGGCCGAGGCGTCTTGTTGGCTTTTCCTCGGTCTCATTCTGGGGAGGACGGATGGTCAAACCGACAGGGTTGCTGACGAGTCGCTTCTTCGCATTCGCAAACAGGATATTAAGCGCCGAACGAAGACGGGTTGTCTAACCTGCAGGAAACGAAGGATAAAGGTACGTCGACCGCTGCGGCGCCACGCTTCTCCTTTGCCGTCTTCTCCTCCCGGTCACATCAACAAAGATCCAACTCTTTTTCCCGGGCTGGGTTGCCCGCGCCCGGTGTATTTGGCCGGTAGCGGACGGCGGCGGCTATAATTGATGGGTATAGTGGGAGACGCATGTCTTATTGTGCGAGACGGACGAGGGCCGTTGTTGGAGCGCGGCAAGATTGCCTTGCTTTTTTTTCTTGTCCTGCGTCTCTGGCCTGGTTGCGTTATTGGCGAGATCTTCCAAGCGGACGGTTTATTCGCTCCTCGCTTGGGGTCGCTTGACATTCGCTTGGTGCTAGAGCTGCCGCAAGCGAGCCGTCGATCGGTCCAGTCGTCGCCTCTCCCGAACCCCAAGGTTCAGCCAGCCCATCGCGGGCAAACCCCCGGCTTTATTGTGTGTTTTATTCCCTGGGGAAATTCTGGGTTTGCGGGTTTGATTTTCTTTTCTTTTTCTTTTTCTTCTTTGCTCTTCCACCCCGGCAGCCGGCGTGGCGCACACACCCACCCCAAATTCCTACCCCACCCCGGACCTTAGTTGAAGCAACACAGCTGCACAAGCACAAGCACAAGCACAAGTACAACACAGCACAACAGGGCGCAGCACAGTACAACACGCCTAGCACAACACGACACAGCACACACACACACACACATACACACACACACCTCCCCCAAACCTTGATTTGATCTCACACAACCAGCACGGCTTTGCTGACAAGTCACCTCCATCTCGAACAGTGCGACGAGACGCATCCGACGTGCAACAACTGCAAAAAGTCCAAGCGTGACTGCGCCGGCTACGACCCCATTTTCAAGCAGACGCCGCCCGGCCCGTCGACCATTCAGCCGGCGCCAAACCACGGCGCCGCTCCCACGGCGCCGCCGCCCGCACAGCCGCTGCAGCAGCCGCAGTTGGAGCAGCACTCCCACTCGCAGGACCAACAGACCTCGTCTCTCTCGGGAGGCCCTCCCACCTCCAGCACCAACAGCCCAGTCTCTAGTCCCTACGGGCACCAACCCACTGTTGTTCCCAGCAGCTACCCTTTTGTGCAGAGCCACCAGTACGATACTTCTAGCTCAACACTGGCGTCCAACGTTGACTACTCTGGTGGAGCCATTGATCCTGCCCTCGACACAGGTTCGACCGGCTCGGGTGGCCATCACGCTTCCTCATATAGAGGCGGCAGCCCAACCTCTTATTTCCCAAGCCCGCCGCCTAGGCTGTCCTGAGTCCGCGTGCACGGTTGGCGATCCTCACCGCAAACGCGGTGCACAGCACGGTAAAAGGCAATAGGCTGGTCCAAGACGGAGTTGACTTGCGCCGCTCCTCCAGCGAGGAAGATGAAGGTCGATGATCTAGTCGCGCTTGGGGGTCACACGCCCCCGCTGCCGCAGTCGCTGCCGACGAAGGAGGTGCTTGACGAGATCATCAAGCTCTATTACGAAATCTACGTCCCCGGCCTGACGGCTTTTTTCGAAACGTCCTGGTTCAACTTCAGGCCCGACGGTCACAATCCCATCAGCGTCCTGAGCCACAACACGGCCCTCATGAGCCTCCTTGCGAGCTTCCTTGCTGCCGCCGCCTCGCCCGTCAAGATCGCCGATGCTGCTCGTATGGCTGCCCCCGGCATCATTGAGACCCGCGTGGTCTGGGGCTTGGCCTCGCTCGCATACTCGGTGCCCGCGGCCACCAACCCTGCCATGGACGAACCCTTGGCTGCTGACGATGCCGCAGAGGCCCGTAATAGGGTCTCGGTGTTCGAGGCTCTGCTCTCGGGGACCTATCTGACCAACAACCCCTGCATCCCGCCCCCGCGGCGGGGTGATGTCCACCGTATCCGCGAGGCCGAATTTTGGTACTATCTAGCCGAGTACCTACGTCTGGGGGAGCCGCAGCCACAGGGAGCGGGACCGTCGCAACGGCAGCGGGATGCAGCCCTGACACGCATCCGGAACCTGCTGGATGGTCGCGAGAACCGTGACGTGCTCTACTCCATGGCTGTCCTGCGCGAGCTCGCCCCTAGGTACCCGGCCGGGTACGAGAACTCGCTGCCACAGCACCTGGACGAGGGTGACCCGCGCAACAAGCTAGCCGTGGCAGCGCAGTTCATCCGTGACGAGGCTCGGGCGTCCAGCGGGACGACAAATGTAGTCAGGAGGCTCGCTGAGCTGGCGGCCAAAGCATTCGTCACTCCTGGGGTCAACGTTTCCCGTCGCCCGACATGAGTGTGTATTTCGTCAAGCACCATCCGCAACTATCCATCACCTGCTAGCGAAGTCCTGTAATCGCTCTTACCAAACCATCTTCCTAGTCGCCCTTTGCAGCCGGATCCCCTCCAGCTTTGCCACGAACAAAAAAAAATAATAATACACAAGGTTCCACGAAACGTCCACCCGCACCCCATCACAACTCTACAGTGTACTGGCATCGATCCCCGGCCTACCAAGCCAGGATATCATGAGCGTTTCATGACTCTACCCTATAATCTTTCTGGTCTAGTGTTTTTTTTTCAAGCTACTGTAAATATTTATCTCCCCTTGTATAAAAGTTCAGTTGTTTATTTTCGGCACTAGATGAGTCGGTGGCACAGGAGTTGCCCGGAGGGGTTAGCGTGGGTGGTGTCAACGCGTGGCGCCCTTGTCAACGATGCATAGTAGCTGAGTCGAGGGCCCTTGTGATGGAGGGATAGAGAGGCCTGTCATAGATCTCGCAATAAAAAGAAGGAGGGAAAAAGCAGTCAAACTTTCTTGGCATTTCGCTCCGTTTTGACTCCATTTTCTCGTGTTTGCCTTTGTAGCAAGTAAGGTTCTTGTGCTTCTCTCACCCTCCGCCATCCGCCCGAAAGAAGACAAGGCAAGGAGTCGTCGGCCGACAGGTCGGAGTCGCTCCGATCCAAGCGTAGGTATTTCCCGGCTCACGTCGGACAAGGCTGCGATATCGGAACCAGGAGAGAAGGCCGCAGGAACGTGCGATATTCGGCGGGCGTCCTTCTCCACACTTTAAACTCGGGCCAATGGCGTCTTATTGCCCGGCGCGCCCGGGCTCAATGGACCGAGCACGGCAGCGATACTCGGTCGAAGCTGCCGGCTTTTTGCAGGCGCGAATAGTCGGGGCGACAGCTCAGGGAAAGGTCCACAGAGAGTCAATCACTGATGGTTGCCCAAACCCCCCCCACTTCAGTGCTCCAGTCTCAGATGGCACCTTGATCCTTGATATTGAGCGACTGTGCCCCGACTCAGACTTGCTGACTATCGAAGCGTCGCATATCCCAGGACTCAACCCTCCCCTGAAGAGTGCCGGTCCTGCATCCCGAGTAAGCTCGGCTACAATATTGCCAGCCACACACGCTCCTACAACGCGCATATCTCCCACGAGCCTGATTTAAGCCTCACCAGGCAGGCGCGTGCGTGCGTCCCTTGCAGAAGCGAGCCGGGAGGGGGCACTTTATCGGATAATTCCCCATAGTCCCCCCCCAACCGACAGCCGAGGATGGGAGGGGAAGCGTCCGGCGCGCGGCCAAAGGTGCTGCTACTAGGCGAGGTTGAGCTGTAAGCCTCCTCATCAATATCACAACGCCTAGCCTAACCTAACCACATCGCTGACAAGCCCACCCTCCACTAGCGCTACCTCGGCCCTCGCGGAGCTCGAGCAGGTGGCCGAGGTGCTGACGCCGCAGTCGCGGGACCGGGCCTCCTTCATGGCCGAGTGCCGGGCGGGCGGGCGGCTCGACGGCGTCGTGGCGGCGTACCGCACCTTTGACAGCGCGCGGGTGACGGGCCCCGTCGACGCCGAGCTCGCGGCGTCGCTCCCGCCGTCGCTGCGCTTCGTGTGCCACAACGGCGCCGGCTACGACCAGGTCGACGTGGCGGCCTGCACGGCGCGCGGCGTCCGCGTCAGCAACACGCCCGGGGCCGTCGACGACGCCACCGCCGACATGGGCATCTTCCTCATGCTGGGCGCCGTGCGGAACGTGGCGGGGGGCATGGCGGCGCTGCGGAGGGGCGAGTGGCGTGGCTTGTCCGGGGCGCCGCACCCGGCGCTGGGGCGCGACCCGCGGGGCAAGGTGCTGGGGGTGCTGGGCATGGGCGGCATCGGGAGGGACATGGCGAGAAAGGCGGCGGCGGCGTTCGGCATGCGCGTCCGCTACTATAACAGGACCCGCCTGGCGCCCGAGGTCGAGGCCGAGTGCGGCGGCGCCGAGCTCGTGGGCTTTGACGAGCTGCTGGCCGGGAGTGACGTGCTGAGCCTGAACCTGCCGTTGAATGTAAGTGAGAAAAGACTTGGAGGAGGAAATAACAAAAAACGACGAAAAAAAAAAAAAGGAGGCCAGAAAGAAAAACTGACAATCCCCTTCACCCACCACCCCTGCAGCCCAAAACCAGACACATCATCGGGGCCCCCGAGTTCGCCAAGATGAAGCGCGGCATCGTCGTCGTCAACACGGCCCGCGGTGCCGTCATGGACGAGGCCGCCCTGGTGGCCGCCCTCGAGGACGGCACCGTGGCCGCGGCCGGGCTGGACGTGTACGAGAAGGAGCCCGAGGTGCACCCGGGCCTGCTGGCCAGCGACAGGTGCGTGCTCGTCCCGCACATGGGCACCCACACGGTCGAGACCCAGGCCGCCATGGAGGCGCTGGCCCTCGCAAACGTCGTCGCCGCCGTCAGGACCGGCCGCCTGCTCACCAATGTCCCCGAGCAGAGCGGCCTCGACTTTTGAGGCCGCGGGGGCTGGGCTGGCGTTCGACTTCCTGGGTAAATCGAGAAGAGACAAATGGATGAATGCTAGAACAGGTCTTTCTACATCACGTTCGTGCTTATAGACAAGAGTTTTAGACAAAGACTTGACCATACCCGCAGCTTTAAAGCGATGTTGTTCTAGAAACTGCCTTGTATCGCGCTTTCCCTCAACATCGAGTTCACGTGGCAGCTAGGCCATCAAAAACACAAAGCCCTAGCAGCGTCATCATAGGACGGGCAAACAATCAGATACCATCAGAAACCAATATGTGTGCCATCAGGCTCTGGCATGTTAAAAGCCAGTTCTGGGGTTCAATTCTCGAAAAAGTCGTCTTCAGGTCAAATAAAGACAGGTATCATCAAACTGCTGCCAACGCCGAACTTTTGTTGAAAATATGGTTCAGTTGCCATGCCCAGATCTCCCAGAACCCTGTCCCCTTTGCCAAGGTGTTTTCCCCAGTTTACCATAAAGCCAATGCTCCTTTAGTCATGCAATGTTGTGTTGAAAATCCGTTGTGCTTTGGTGTCGACGATAAAAGCCCAAGCCAGAACCCAGTTGAAGGGTTCCAGTCACGCAGCAACCAAGATACGTGTAAGAAAAGCCCCCATCGCGGCCGAGCACGACAGGGGGATATTAGGTGCGCACTTAGTAGCGGTAGCTATAAGAGTCAATGTTAGCACTGTCACGGGGCCATAGATGTGGGAGCAAAATCAAGCAGCAGGATAACACGTACTGGTCGGGCTTGTAGGGGCCCTCGGCCGGCAGGCTGAGGTACTCGGCCTGGACGGGCGTGAGGGTCGAGAGCTCAACGTTGCAGTGGGCCAGGTGCAGCTTGGCGACCTCCTCGTCCAGGATCTTGGGCAGGACGTAGACCTTGTTCTCGAGCTTGCCCGACTTGGCGAACTCGACGTACTTCTGGGAGAAGGCGGCGTCGCTGTTCTTGTACAGCATGATCTGGGCCAGCACCTGGTTGGTGAAGGAGCACGACATGACGAAGGACGAGTGGCCGGTGGCGCAGCCGAGGTTGACAAGGCGGCCCTCGGCGAGGAGGATGATGTGACGGCCGTTGGCGAGCAGGTAGCGGTCGACCTGGGGCTTGATGTTGGACACGCTCTTGGCGTTGGCCTTGAGCCAGGCAACGTCAATCTCAATGTCGAAGTGACCAATGTCTGCGGTTGAGGGTAATGTCAGCTGCTGTGTAGGCAAGAAAAAGAGGAGAGGGAATATCAGAGCGGCCGGCTGGACTTACTGCATACAATGGCGTCGTTGGGCATGGCCTCGAAGTGCTTGCCGACCAGGATGTCACGGCAGCCAGTGGTGGTGACGAAGATCTGACCAACAGAGGCAGCCTTCTCCATGGTGGTGACCTGGTAACCGGCCATGGCAGCCTGGAGGGCGTTGATGGGGTCAATCTCGGTCACGAGGACGCGGGCACCCATCGAGTGCAGGGCCTGGGCGCAGCCCTTGCCGACGTCGCCGTAGCCGGCAACGACGGCGATCTTGCCAGCAACCATGACGTCGGTCGCACGCTTGATGCCGTCGACAAGCGACTCGCGGCAGCCGTACAGGTTGTCAAACTTGGACTTGGTGACCGAGTCGTTGACGTTGATGGCCGGGACCAGCAGCTTGCCCTCCTTGAGCATCTTGTACAGGTGGTGGACGCCAGTGGTGGTCTCCTCGGACACGCCGTAGCAGCCCTTGAGCATCTCGGGGTACTTGTCGTGGACGAGGTGGGTCAGGTCACCGCCGTCGTCGAGGATCAGGTTCAGCTTCTGGCCGTCCTTGAAGGCCAGCAGCTGCTGCTCCAGACACCAGTTGTACTCCTCCTCGGACTCGCCCTTCCAGGCGAAGACGGGAACACCGGCGGCAGCAATGGCGGCGGCGGCATGGTCCTGGGTGGAGAAGATGTTGCACGAGGTCCAGGTGACCTCGGCGCCGAGAGCGACCAGCGTCTCGATCAGCACAGCCGTCTGGATCGTCATGTGCAGGCAGCCGGCGATGCGGGCGCCCTTGAGCGGCTGGTCGGTAGCGTACTTCTCACGCGTCTGCATCAGACCGGGCATCTCGTTCTCGGCCAGCTCAATCTCCTTGCGGCCGAAGGCGGCCAGCGAGAGGTCGGCGACCTTGAACTTGTGGGCGGGAGCAGCCATCTTGGGTGGTGGGTATAGGCTATATGTCGAGACGCGGTTGGGGGATCGTTAGTCAATTCGTCCTCTAGACGTGTAGTGAGGTCGGCTTTATAGCTGGAAAAAGCAATGGCGCTCACAGGGAAATGGAAAGAGTGAGGGTGGAGAGGCGGGCTGCTGGCAGTGACGGGATCAAAGTCAGTGCCGGGTGATGGGCGCTGTGAAGAGTGAAATGGACTGCACGGGTTGGAAGAGGGGGACATTGGTGGGGGAGGGGTGGGAAGCTATACCTGTTGGAAAATTGCTTGAAGAAGAAGCCCGAAGAGAAAGACGAATACAGCTAAGATTCAGGGCACCTGGGAGATGAGCACAGGAAAAAAAAAGAAGATGGGGACGAGGAGATCTTTGGCAGATGAAGGAGACGGAGTCCGAGAACTGCAGATAAACGTCGCCCACCACCCACGTGGGGCAATCCGCGTCGTCCTCGCACCGTAACTCGCGGTGAAGCAAAACCCTGCCTGAGCTTGGTTGGCGTCTTACCCGATTGGGCTGCCCCTCCATAACCCCTCACAGCCCACTAAAATCCAGACTTCGGCAAGTCATTAGGTCCCTTGGTTGACGGGTCTTGGTCGACGGGTGGCACCTCAACGTTTTTTTTTCTTTGTTGTCCTATTGCTTGCTGCCACATTGTACCGTTCCTACTTTAGTTCCCCTTTGGGCTTACTCTGCACAAGCTGCCCGACTGTTGTCGAGCTGCACATCTTGCGTTGTCCCTCCATGGCCCAGGGGCAGGCAGTTGTCCCCCTCATCGAGCTCGGCCTAAAAAGACCATCACCGTGCACGGCGGGTAGACTAGGATCCTGACTCGGCTTTCGGGGCCGAGATCATCTCTGGGCCGAGCCTGTTCTTCCTTTTGCATGCAGATCACAGCGTCGGCACCTAGCACTGGCTGGAATCCAAAGCCGATATGCAGCTCTCAAGCAGACTTGCGTGTACAACAAGCAAAACCCAAGCTCGGGCAGTCTGTTCCCAATCTGTTTCATGGCCCCGCTCACTGAGCCCCAGGGTTTTATCTAGTTTTTTCTCTTGAAAAGAACTCCCTCGGCGCCGCGAAACAAAGACGAGGCCCTGCACCGACGTGCCCTAGTTTCACCCAGCCCAAAGTATCCATGACCAGAAAAAAAAAGTACCGTTAACGCCATACAATATGCACATTCATTAGTGGCTCCCGCAGCGGCAAACTGCGTCAGCAGCCGGATTGGGATCAGGGGAGCCGCGGAACACCGGGGGTTTGGTGAAACCGCTGGTGCAAGCTCTAGCCAGCAGTCTGGCTGCCTGCTTGTCCACATGAATAAATCACTCCGTCTCCCGCACTCGCTCAGCCGCTTCACTCGGTCAGGAGGCCCCCCCTGACAGCAAACATCTTGGCGCTGACGTTCGCCGTGAAGCCGTCCACCTGCTTGCTGTACTGCTCCACCTGTCTGGCGTTCAGCATGCCCTCGAGCCTGCTGGGCTCCTGCGGCAGCTTGAACAGCCTCTTCCACTCGTCCTCCGGGAGCGGCGTCTGCTTGGCCGCTGCCCGCGCCGCGTTCTCCGCCTTGCGCTTCGCTTGCCAGGCCGTGATCTTGGTCTGCTCACGCGTCAGCTGGCGTTGGTAGTATTGGTGGTTGTTGAGATCGGTGTAGTGCGACTCGATGCTGTCCAGAAGCAGGTCGCACGTCTTCTCAAGGAACGGGTCGATCGACAGCTCCAACGAGTCGAGCGACGGGTAGGCCGGGCCCCTGATCGGATTCCGTTGCAGCTCCGCGAGCGAAGTCGGTAGGCTCACCTCGCTCTTGGAGGGTGGTGGCGCGGGAACTTGGTGGAGGTAAGTGGTGAGAAGGTGTGTGTTATGGACGACAACGGGAAGCTCAACCAGGATATCCTTGTATGTGAGCTTTATTTTTTGCAGGCTATTGATGAGAGGTTAGCGAGTTGCACCCAACGCAGTGACGGTCACCCATGGCCGTAGCCATCGGGCCGTCTCGGAGCGAGGATGTCGGCAGCATACTTTTCTGTCGTGAACTTGCCCTCCTTAAAGGCGGCCATGAAGTTGTTGGAGAGCCTGAAGGCGCGCAGGCAAAGGGCGCCCTGTGAGCTCCTGCTGACGTCGTGAACGAGGGCGATGGCCCTGGGGTTCTCGCGCTGGTAGTGGTGCTGGTTCTCAATGAAGTTGATGTTGATGAAGTTGCCCATGGTGGCGCTCGAGTACCAGCCGACGTTGTTAGCGTCAACGTTGACCTCGCGCAGATACTTGATCATCTCGGCCTGGTAGGCAATGTTGGCCTTGGACCGGGGGGCGGCGGCGGCCTGGGCCGAGGCGTCGCGCTCGCTCTGGTGGCTGTCGACGTTGGCGACATCGACGGTGGGGAAGTTGAACGAGTTGGTGATCTCGAGTACCGTGTCGTTGTCCATGCCGACCAGCGAGCCGGTGGCCATGGTTGGGAACGTCGCCGAGCAGTGCTTGGAGATCTTCATCACCACCTAGTTCGTCACGCCTCTGGCTTAGCAACTCCCTCTCCAACGACCCCCCTTCGAGCCCGCGCGCACGCAATGGTGGGGCAACACCTCGCGGCAAACGTACCAGTGCCTCGACCTGCACCGACTTGAAGGGCGCATCTTTGGAAGCGTCCGCCATGGCTGCGTTTCGTAGCGGCTGTCGCGGGTATTGGTGTTGGTGTTCGTAGTCCGGCGCGCGGTTGGCTTTGGAGGCACGGCTTCCGTTGTCGTCGTGGGCGATGCGATGGTATTTTCTCGAGTTGTGCGCGGAAAATTCGGTTCTTCCGTGGCATTGAGCAGCCCACCCCCGCCGGCACAGCAAAGGCAAAAGCGGGCCGCCAACTTACATAATACCAGAGCGTGGTGGGGCATCCCAGTAACTTGTCCAGTTTTGGAAAACTGAATGGCTTCACTGGCCGACAAGCGCGGGATGTCATTGTGCCCCCACGCTCAGTCGTTCCAATCCAGGGGCGTTCCAGCAGAGCCTCTCGCCCATTCTAACCGCGCGTGCCCGCTCTAGCTTCTCATCTGGCTTTCTTTGTTTTTGCTCTCCCGTCCTTTCTTGGTGCTGTCGCCCCACCCAAGTGGTCTACAGTTCGCTCAAATGACATAACGTGCTGCTTCTATTCCGGACCTGGAAAACATACAAACAGGCCTGCTGTTGCTAAGTACATTTCTTCTAACGCTCATGAATACCCAGATTTCCCACAAGCTCGCCCCTCTAGCTCTAACTCTTTCTCTCTCGCCTTTGTCCTCTTTCCCGGCGCCATCATTACCCAAACCCCAGTGATTCTTTCCGCAGCCCCTTCGTTGTGATCTCATTCATCAACCCAGTCGACAATCTCCCAGCTCTCAACATCATCACGCACGATCAGTCGGTGCCTATCTATCCCCCAGCTGGTGTACAGCCGGCGTGTCGCGTTGGCTGCCTTTCTGTGAGCTGGGCCAACGTTACCCAACCTAGGGTTAGGATTACGGCAGGCGCCGGGTTGTTAGTCGTCTCCTTGATAACCTGCTTATGCGAGCGTCCTTACCTTGCATCCTCTTTAGATCGCCACACGCAAGTCGCCAGATTGCGCCCTTCGGCGTTGGGCTCGCCAAACTAAACGGGGTTAAAAGGTTAACGAGGCGGAATGAATATCTGACAGAGCGAAAGATATATACCCAGTATCTGTATGGACCCGGTTAGTTTATGGCTCTTGGGATACACTTGTAGCGATTCCTCTCTAGCGGAAGGCCGCCCTTGGGTTCAACTCACTTCAGAAAGCCCCCACTCTTGTTTGCCTCTACGTGAGCGCTCTTGTCCAGAGCCCCCAGCTCGGCGTACACGGTGGTGGGTGGAATCTGCGATCTAAAGGCCACGATGTAGAAGGAAGTCTCCCTCCATGTGTGGCCTGCGTCTTGGGCTAGACTCCTTAGAGTGTCCATAACCGCGACCCAATTAAAACTGTCGATGTACGGGCTAGTCGCATAGTCCTGTCTCGTGTTCCGCATGTGCGTCAACGCCAGCGCGAGAAGCTTGCTTTCCGGCTCGAGGGTGTGTAAGTCGAGCAGATGGTCTTGCTCCGTATATGGCGATGAAACGAGGAATCTTGAGCTATCCTGTGGTGGCTGAGGGGCCTCGTCCGAGTACAGCGCGTTGACCTTTTCCTTGAAGGCAGGGTCTACTAGGAGGGCGACCGTGGCGACCGACATCATAGGCTGGCCGGTAATGCGTTGTCTCCTTGGGTGCTATAGGTCGTGATGCTCTGGGCTTCAAGCAAGGCGAGTGAGTCTAGCAAGGAACCTTGATGGTTTTGGGACTGCTGGAGGGTGTGTCGATGCTTAGGAGGAGCTACGGTCTCGAAACCAGGAGAGGAACATTTGGTGGTGGTCACTCATTCACTTTATATGTCAGAGGCATTCATGTGGGTCTAGTCAAGCAAGCTCGCTGGCAGAAGCTGTAGTTCCGTGTCCCAAGCGCCGCCTCTATGCGCCAACCACTGACGAGGTCGCATCCGTTCGATGGGCCTTGGCTTCACCCGGAAAACCACAAGACCCAAGACCGCTCCCCGACTTCGTCAGCGCCGGGGTTTTGTTGCGTATTCCATCGAGAAATTGCGATATATACACTACATGCCCCGTACGAGGCGGTGACTGGCTTTCACGTCTGGCTGGAATTGTTGGCACAGGCGCCTCCCGCATTGTCCCAGCCAAGGTGAAACTCTGGCTTTTGTGCTGCTAATCGCGTCATCCAGCCTTCTGCTGATGCGATGCACGAATCTTTAACCTGACCCCAGGTTCCCCTGGTCATCAGCGCCAGGCCTGCCGCATTCTCCGGTCGCAATTGTGTGCATTCCTTTGCCGGGTGGCAGAGTCAAGCGCACTCTCTGCAAGCAGCCACTGAGCCATAAGGTAGGTATACCGGTGAGAGGCGATCAATCGACGACCACCAGGTTAGCCCATCTTGTGGCTCGGGGGGTATTTCTCGCACACCCCTTCCAAGCGCTTTCTTTCCTCGACCAAACATTCTTGAGGCCAACCAAGCCGAGATCCTGGGCCTTCCGATCCATTGGTTCGCTTCCATCCGAACTCCTACCACCAGTCTCTGCCTTTCCCATGTGGAAGTGGCCTTGAGGCCATGGCTGCGCCGCGTAAGCCGATGCCGACAGCGGACCGCACCTCGACCCAATGTGTCAACCAATGGCACCTGGGATGCAAGGTAGGTAAGTGCCTACTCAAGTATGGACGCTTGCTCGATAGTAAACTCTGCGCGGAGACACAGAGGACTTGGCGGGCGTGATCAAACATGAAACGTCCTGTTCTGGAAGAAAGCCGCGACGGCTTTGTCATGTTGTCGATATCAAGGCCTCTAATTATATCCCGCCATCACCTTCCGCTGTCTCCCACCAGCCATAACTTGGCTACCTCGTACGTGCCCAAATACAGGGCGCTCCCAAGCGCTGTCCAGCCCGCACGGAATAGCCCTCCCCGGAAAAGCCCGCGGACCCCCAGCTCCGTATAGACATTCTTGGCGACCTCGAAGCCTCCAGCCCTCCCCCTTCCTCCGCTGCTGGTGTGCCCAGATGCAGCGCCGGCTCGCCCCTCCCCGCCCAAAAGCATTATTCGCGTTTTGACAACGTCGATTGGCGTCGTGGCCACCGCAGCGACCGACCCACTAAGGGCCGCGCTGGCGCCGTTGACGAGCCCGGTCTCCATGAGGCCACGCCCGATGTCGGCACCGCCGGCCTCGCGCCGGGAGGGCGGCGCGGCGAGCCCTCTAGCTCGCCGCCTGTCGTCGCGCCATCGCCACAGCGACGCGCGGACGTGCTCAAACATTGGGAACTGCATCGCCGTGAAGGGCAGGTTGCGAGCAGCCAGGGCCGAGAACCCCGTCCACAAACGGCGGTTGACGCCGCCCTCGGATGTCCGCAGCATACGCAGAGCCTGCAGCGAGGTGCCGCCGCCGCCGCCACGACTACCACCACCTTGGCTGCGAATCATCTGTGCGTTCTGCTTGACGATTTCTGCAGGTGTGAGAACGAGGCATGAGGCAAGCTCGGCGGTACCGGAGGCGAGCGAGTGGACCAGCGGCTTGGGCGCACCTTCCGGTAGGGCACGAGGCAGAGCCGACTTGACAGACTCGTAGGTGGCGAAGAAGACGCCCGCTGTGTGTAGCTCATATCAGTGCCATGGCTCTCTTACCGCTCGGGAAGCCTTTGGCAGATCAAGGGGTTCTTGCCTGCGGGCACCGTTGCCACGATGACACTCCCAACGCCCTGGTATAAGCCGCCACGAAGGGCCTGCTTGAGCGCATTCCTTGCTCCCGCTGATTTCTTGAACGTGTCTATGTAATCCTGACTCTGCCACCGTGTTTTGAGGGTGTCGAGAGGATAGACCAGCAGGTCTATCGTGAAGGCGGCACAAGCGCCCGCCTGTTGGCGTCAACATATAACCTGTGGTGCAAGGGGATGTTCGTATCGCTCACCATCAGAACGTGTGCGTGCGTGTCACTCATGGCAGTACGCGTTTGATCCAAATTCGTTTCATTGGTATCTTTCTTGGTCAATTGTAACATTCAGGGTAAAATCTACGTCTGTTTCTACGGTAGAGATACATCATCATGCCGTTTCTGCTATGACGGCATCCCAGCCGATGAGTCAGCAACCACAACTGGAAGTTTGCGACCTGATCTGAGATTGCCTTGAGATGAAGATATCACCAGTCGCCAGTATCAATCCAAGGTTATTGTTTATAATTAATAGGTACGTAGGTAACTAATTAGGGGTTATGACAGGAGGAAAAAGAAGAAACTACTAATTCTTCGTAAATGTTATAAAAAAGAAAAAAAACATACAACACCGAGGATTCCCCAGTGGTCACCCACCTGAGTACTAGTTCGGCCCTCATATGTTTTAGTACTGGGAGATTTTTTTGGAGAGATTGGGTTCCAAGGCGTCCAGAAACGGAGGTTTTCGCCTCCAAAAACGGATGCCTCTGCTCCCCTTTGCTCCCAGCCAAGCGTTCCCCTACCTTCCAACGGCCGTCTGCTGTCACAATCCCTGGACGAGACGAAAAATGCGCTCCTGGCGCTTCCGCTCCCCCAATAGCACGGCCCGGATATGCCTTTTCGCATCTGCACTTAATCGCGCGCATTCCGCCACCGCGGCTGGGCTGCTGGATGCGGCCGCGATTGGCCGGAGATGTTATCAGACCCGCTCAAGGTCTCGGGCGCTGTCGCTGAGCTGCTAAAGGCGGCCGCGACTGGCCCTGGTGCCTGCGGAGGCCTGGTCTGATGCCACGCAGCCTCTGGGAAATGTCCGCGGTAAAGGCGGCAGCTCGTCGTCGAAACAGACTACAGTTTTTCGTTTTCTGGAGAGGGGCAAGGATGACTTCAAGTCGCCGATACCCGTGCCGTGGGTCCTGATTGCCGTCTACTTGTGCGGCAACAAAACGTGCGCGAGCTCCGAGAGGACATGGAGGAAATGTACCAACGAGGAGCCGAGAACAAAATCACCTTCGCGCCAGAAAAGACGGAAATGATCCACATCACACGCAGCAGAACCGGCGGCAACCCAGACCTGCAAATTAACGGCAGAACGATCCAGCCCATAACGGCCCGGCGGAAATACCTACACAAAACACTGGTAAATCCCCAGGCCTTTAAGCGGTTTGTGGCCGATACCGACCACTCCACCCTCCCACCGCGTGAATAACGCATCTCACCCGCCTTAGCGGATACCCCCTGCCCGCTGACGCGGGCACATCAAGACGGCGCACGACGCCGGAGGCTGGTCACACCTCTGCAGGAATATAAGTTGCAGGGCCGCAGCAGGCGCCCAACCCCACACTGTCTCGGGCCCGGCCCGTGACAGTCGATCCGCTTGATAGACTCACGTAGACTAGAATAGCGCGCCGTGATGCCCACGCGCGGCTGCACGCACGGAGAACCGGCCTTGCTGGCGCTCCGTGCAGCCCGGCGTTAATAAACACTACTACTACTACTACTACTACTACTACTACTACTACTACTACTACTACTACTACTACTACTACTACTACTACTACTACTACTACTACTACTACTACTACTACTACTACTACTACTACTACTACTACTACTACTACTACTACTACTACTACTACTACTACTACTACTACTACTACT